TTCATAATGTTTAAAGTGTGGACTCTCAGGTACTATCCCAAATTGTTAGATTCAACAAACTCAAGAATATGCATTTATTAAAGAATCTTAGCTCAGGCTACTATAACAAAACATCAAACTAAATGGCTTAAACAAAGACATTTCTTTCTCACAGTTCTGAAGACTGGGAATTCAAGGTTAAAGTGCTTAGAGAATTCGTTTCTGGTAAAGTCCCTTTTCAGGGGTGACGGGGACAAAACATCTGGTCCATTCCCTAAAGCTTCCTGGGTCTTTCTGAAGTAAAAACCCCATCAGCCACACTTTATAAACTGCTGTTTTAGAAGTTTAAGGGCGGTGGATTCCACAGTTGCACCCAGCAAAGTGTAATGATGAGAAGAAAAGATGTGAGAATCCCAGTCTACTGAGGTAATCAGAGCAGATGTAGATAACTTACTTTTAACCTTGGGTCATGATTGTTAAAGAAGTGTCAAAATACAAACAGGAAGATGAAAGAATTTAGAACTAGGTCATGCAAAGAACAGTTGAAGGAAGTGGCAGTTATTCATTCAAAAAGATCAGAGAGGGCCGGGGAATTTAGCTCAGTGGTTCCGCCGCTTGTCTTGCAAGCACAAGGACCTGAGTTCGATCCCCAGTACAAAAAAAAAAGGTTCAGAGAGGACAGGACAGGAGAAAGTTATCTGCATCAAGAAATTAAACGTGTGACCTAACAAGATGACAGGGCTGGGATTTAGCTCAGTGGTGCTGCCACCTGCCTCACCTCACAAGCGCAAGGTTCTGAGTTCAATCCCTGGTACCGAAAATAAAAACAAACAAGATGACACTAGGCCAGAGAACAGAAACAGACAAACCAATCTGGGCTCCAAAAAGTGATCATCTCTCTCCACTAGAGCCTTCCAGCACTGGAAGTCTTCAAGAGTGGTAAAAATGTGGCTAATTCCTCAGCAGGCTCAGTGTGCAGTTCAGCCCCAACACCAAAAAAAAATGAATAAAATAAAAATAAAGAATTCTTCAGTAAATTGAGTAATGAAGGGGAGGATGGTACAAACAATAGGAGGAAGAATAAAGGGTGGTATTGCATGCAGTGCTGAGGACTGAACGAGGTTCTCACTCACGCTATGCAAGCACTCTACCACTAAGTTACATCCCCAGAGCTGTTGTTTAATAGGACAAAATATAGCATATGTAGGTTTCCAAGGAAAAATAAACCAGAGAAAGGTGTGAGAATGATGGAGGCAGGTGTTCTGTGGCAATAGGAATAAAGGAGCAGGAGATTGGAGAGATCTGGAAAGGCTGGGGTCTAGAGCCTAGGAAAAATTTGCAGTGGAACTGAGACAGAATAAGAAAGAGAAGGTAAGAGTGTGGCAGACAAGAGGGTCCAGTGCAAGGCACTTTGAGGTTATGAGATGGGCAAGATGATGAAGTTCATTCAAATTATGATTTTAAGTAACGAGTTAAAATCTTCTCAACGTTCAGAAAGAGTAGAGTTGGTGGGGGTTTGAGTAGTCTAGAAAAGGTAGGGGGTCGTAGGTGTGGAGAATCCCTTAAGGAGTCAAAGACCATCCATGATTAGATGTTACTTTGTTGGATGTAGTCTAGGGTTCAGTCAACTCACATTCTTTATATCCCCAGTGCAGATGAGCCATTCAGATGCCAAGCCACAGAGCAGGTGGCTTGGGGTAACCTGGGGTACAACTTGTCATGGTGGAACAAAGAAAGATTAAAGGAACAAGTTTCGGGTTTACAAAGATTGATCAATACCTTATTAAACTGCCACCTGCAAGGACAATGTGTGTTTTCTGCTCCATAGCCTGTATTTTAATTTTTTCCAGTTTGATCATTTTCTATCTTTTTTCCACTCAGTTTATTGGTACATATTAGGTATACACTGTGATCACAATAATCATTGGAAATGTATACCTGTATATGATAATATCTTGGTTCTTCTTTTTTTCCCATTCCTTCCCTTTCACCACTTCACACTCTCTATTTACAAAAATTTTGTTTCCATTTTTTCCTTCTTTTCTCATATTTTCTGAGTCTTTTGTATCTTGAGACAGGGTCTCACTGTGTTGGCTGGGCTACCCTTGGACTCCTGGGCTCAAATGATCACCTGTCTCAGCCTCAGAGGACCTGGGACTCTTGTCATGTACCATCTCACCTGTTTTGTTCCAGAACCTTTGAACGAGAGTCTCTCCATTAAACCTAGAAACGTCAAATCTAGATACATCCAGAAGTACCCAAGACAGCAGAAGTTTCATTTCAAGGGCACCCTTTTGTGCTCTCATCTTGATTGCCTTAGTTACTTTCTGTCATAGCTGAGATGAACTACCTGACATCTAAAATTAAAAGAGGAAAGGTTTATTTTGGCTCACAGTTTGTGGAGGTGTCAGTCCACAGTTAGCTGGCTCCAAGGCAGGATGACATGGCAGAGGGGCATTGCAGAGGAGAAACAGTCCATGGTAGAGCAGGCAGGCAACAGCAAGCATGCCTTTGATTCCATCCCTTTATATTCAATTCAGGCCACAAGCCTATTGGTTGGTGCCACCCACACATGGGATAGGCCTTCCATTATCTACACCCAGAACTATGTTAAATCTATTTAGTTATTACACACACTTAATCCCAGTATCACACACTCAAGACCTAGCCACCTCCCAAAAGTTCCACTTATGAGCATACATGAAGCTAAATACTTTACAGGTCTTAGCAGTGATCCTCACAGAGTTAGGGCTTTTCTGACTTTGAAGTTATCTGTGTTTGGTGTGTGTGGTGAAAACCTGGGAGTTTAAAAAAGCCCTGAGATTTCAGGAAGTGTGTAGCCCCTAGGGCCACTGTAATTATATTAAGAGATAAAAGCTCTGAAGTTTTTCATATAGTCTCTTTTTTCTCATTTATTTTCTAGTGGGTTTTCAATATGTATATGGAAAATAATGGCTTTGACCTGCATGAATTTTACAAGATTGACACAATCTTAAAGTTCATCATACCTGTCTTTGGCCTTGAACCCATTCAATTCAGAAACCTCTTCAGAAAATATAAATTGATGGAAGAAAGATAGAAATAGGCTTTCTGAGATAGAGGTCATATGCCTCTGCTTTCTTACTGTTTTCGCATGATCAACTCTTAAATGATCCTTAAACACCAGTAGAAAGATCTTCTCTTTAAAGTAGAACATTTGCAGGGTAAACCTATTTATAAGAGAATCTTTTATTATTGGTTAAAATCATAGAAGAGCCACTTCATTTTAAGAACTTGGAAAGATGGAAAGAAAGGAAGACTCAGGCCTCTATCTGTAAAAAGAAAAGGGGAAGTTTGTAATGTCCTAATCTGGAGCTTTACCTGGAAAAAAAAAAAAATGATCACTGAATCATTTCCAGGATAATCTGTAGTGAATATAGTGTTGGGAACAAGTTCTGTCAAACTGATTCATTTCCTTCCATGAAAGAGTAACAAGATTTTAGTAGATTGAGGGGAAATGATAAATGTAATCTGTATTTTATTTAGCAAGACGCTTGAACCTACTCCATCTAGCATCTTGGTCAATAAATTCTGAAAATTTGGAGATTGACATGAGATGTGCAGAGTGCATTTGGGCACCTATCTCTGAAGCCTGGATTTAATAACACATCTTTTTTGTGAGGCCCAACAGCAGGGGAAAAGTTAACTGACCTGCTGTAAGAGAAACAAATGGTGGTAAGTTCCCTCACAGGAGCCTGTTAGACCTGACAAATGCATGCAATGTTGTTTGTCACTTCGTGATTTTGATTATTCAGATATGCTTGGAAGATCAGTTATGAATATATATTTTATGAAATAAAGTGAATGCTGGCTGCTCACAGTCGTTCATATACTGTGCTCACACATCCTTCTGAAAATTCCCCAAGAAACTTCCTGACAGAATTGGTTCTTAAGCTTCTCTGTCACCAAAGAGGGGAGGAAAATCAGAGGAAACAATAACACTGAAAGCAACTGAGATGTGTGGAAATAAATCTGTCATACTCTGTAATTCCAAAAGGCAAAGATACTTCTGGAAATTCTATTCTGGTTTAGGAAAGGGTCTGTTGCAACTAACGGTGATGATATTGCTTCATGATTATTCTTCAGATTTACATATCCCTCTGTTCAATAATTCCTGTGTCTTTCTAAACTATTAATCTTCACAGCACCCCTGCTGAGGATATCTGGTAGGCAGTCACTTGCATTCCTCATATTTCAGTAACTTTATGGCTGAAATTATGTATGTATGGAAGGGAGGAAGTGTATCCTTGATTATACATCTTTATCTCATTGCCCCAAATCCCAATAGTAACAGATTTAACCCAGAGCCCAATAATACCTGCAAAGAACATTTTCTATTTGTTTAGACCCCTCTGGTTTACCCAGCACTTTTGTGATCATTTTATCTTCACATTCCCACCCTACAGTGCCAGCAGGTAAGTACTATCATGATATTATCGATCACTATTGAACACCTGCCATGTTGCAGGCATTGTGCTGGACACTTTATATCTGCCATCTCATTTAATCCTCAGACGACCCTATGAAGTGTGTACTGTTATCTCCAGTTTACAAGGAGAAAACATGCTCCAAGGATTAAATGGCCAAACAGCTTTTAGTGGCAGAGTTGGGATCAGACTCCAAGATTTTGGTGATTTTTTTTTTCTATTCCCTTGTCTTTTTGTTTGTTGTTTTTATTTTTTAAAAAGTCCTTACTGGGTATGATGGTACACACCTAAAATCCCAGACCTGGGAAGGAGTTCTGTGAATTCAAGGTCATCTTGGACTATATAACAAGTTCGAGACCAGCCTGAACTTGCATGGTGAAACCTAAAAAAACCAAGACAAAACAAAAAAGACCGGACCAGACCTTCATTCTTCCAGGTGGTCCTTTCCACTTCTGGTGTCTTATCCCCAACCCTTTTTAAATTTTGCTTTGAGACAAGGTCTTGCTAGTTGCTAAAGCGAGCCTTGAACTTGTGATCCTCCTGGTTTAGACTTCCAAATAGCTGGGGTCACAGGCATGCACCACTGTGTCTGGCTACCTTCTTGGTGCTTTAACTGTAAGATGCATTTGTCCTGAAGTGCCACACCGACTTTCTGCTGTGGCCTTTTACCTTGAGAGAGAGAGAGAAAGAGAAGTGGGTAAGAAAATCATATTTTGGGGGCCAGGGATTTAGCTCAGCGGTGCCACCGCCTGCCTTGCAAGTGCAAGGTTCTGAGTTTGATCCCTGGTACACACACAAAGAAAACCAAAAAACAAAAAAAAAACAAAAAAGAAAATCATATTTTTAAAAATATACCCATGGTAATTGTGATTATTGAGACACCTTGTATTACTGTTAGGCCATTTTGGCCAGGGCCCATTCTTAGTTGAGATTTTGTTTTTTTCAATAAGTAGTAATAAAGGGGATTTTGTTCATCTTAGGTATGAGGGATTGAATCCAGGATCCTCACGCTTCAGCATTTTTTATTTTTCTTTGAGATAGGATCTTGCTAAGTAAGTCTTTGTGTTACCCATACTGGATTTGAACTTACAATCTTCCTGCTTTAGCCTTCCAGAACGCTGGGATTGAAGGCCTGTGTTACCATACCCAGCTTAAAAGTTTTTGTTTGTTTGTTTGTTTGTTTGTTTGTTTGTTTTGTACCAGGGATCAAACTTAGGATCTTGAGCTTGTGAGGCAGGTGTGGTGCCATTGAGTTAAATACCCAGCCCCATGAGTAATTACACTTTGAAAGAATAAAGAACCAGATCTCATACACTCCACAGAAAGCCTAAACTTTGCTCATTTGTTCAGTCCTTCTTTGTTAAGCATCTCTCTATGCCCAGAACTGTCTTCACTCTGGAATCATTATTTGCAATTCAGTGTCATCATCATCGTCATCATCGTCATTATCACTATCCTGAGTACCAATTAGCACTGTGGGCATTTATGGAGATTGTGCGGCGTACACTCCATATGGTGCCCATCCGTGGGGAAGCAGGCGGGGTAACCCACACATGAATACAAATCCACTCACAAATGCAGGTGCATTTCCACAGCATCACAGGTCTTGAGTAGGGAGGCGATGGATACTGATGACAGTATCCTGGTGCTATATAATCATAAACTAATCCAGGAACTCCTCCCCGCTGCCCCGAGAGCTAAAAGTGAGAAGCTGGATAAAATCAACTCCAGTACTAGACTGGAACAGGGTGAGGGAGGAAGCCTGAGCCTGATTCCAGGATAGGGGCAGAGCTCCCCGCAAGCCTCCCCCAGGTCCCTCCAAAGTTGAAATCTGCCACAGTGAAAGATGCAGAACCCTACTTCTTCTTCTTTCCTTTCCCTTTCTCCTTCTTCTTCTTCATTCTGCTTTCTTTTTGCGTAATTCCCATCACCCTCTAGTATATTTTTCTAACTCCAGCTTCACAACAAATGATGAGAATTGGATAATATAGTAAGTATCCTTTGACAGAGGAATTTCACACCCTCAGCCGTGAGTTTGGAATCTGTGCTCCACCTTGATTGTCTATTCCTGATCCAGCAGGGCCAGGGGCCCCATAAATGATGAGAAAGAAATGATAGCAATGACAATGGTATTCTCCAACGCCACCTTTTGGGGGGCTCCAAAACCACAAAAATCATTTAATTGGCCAATACAGCTAAACTCCAAGGAGCACATCCTTGGCCTATAACATTTGAAAGTTTAAAATTGGAATGTGTACAAAATATTTAAAGCCTGTAGAAAATTCTAGATTCCTGGCATGTAGCTGAACACATCATCTACTGGCCTCCTCGGTCAGACTACCTCTAGGAGATAACCTCATCAGACTTAAATCTCATAATATCTGAATCTTCTCTTTACTGACTTCCCAGGCCACTAAACTGGAACAGTACTCAAAGTACTGTGTAAGAAACCAGTGCAGCCAGACTCGGTAACACATGCCTGTAATCCTAGCAGCCTGGGAGGATGAACAGGAGGATTGAAAATTTGAGCCCGACCTAGGCAACTAAGTCATACAATTTCTCAAAATTAAAAAAGGCTGGGATGTTACTCAGTGGAAAGGTCCTGGCTTCCATCCCCAGCACCACCCAAACAAAACAAAACAAAAAACCAGAAATGCACAAACATAGAACACTATTTCAAGGGTTCCATCTCTAGATCTTACTGGGGTCTTTCAACAAGGTGCTCTATTTCTGACTTTTTGCAACCCACGGGTAAATGTTCCCATTAAAGTATTCATGCCCTCCTAGTACAGCCCCACCTTTACAAGGTTGGGGATTAAGAGTTCACACCTAAGCAATAATTACTTAGCAGTCTCACTCTTGTGTGATCTTCCCACCCCCCTCTCCTACCCCTAAACTAAAAGGTGGAGGAGCCCAGGTAACAGACAGGGGAGGAAAGTGGGAGCAAAAGGACAGATCAATATCTGCATTCTGCCCTTTGTCCTTGGAAGAGTTGGTCCTTTTGATTCCCCCCTTGTTCCACCCTCTAGCCTCACTACTTTGCTGACTGCTTCCAAAGCAGTTTCCAGGGACATCCTTTTTCCACCCTTCTGTGAGAATAAACAGATTAAGGCTCCCATGCCTCCATTAAACATTTCCTTCAAACTGTATTTTTTATGTTTTGTATGGAGAATCGAACTCAGGGCCTCGTGCTTGCCAGACAGTCACTGCACCGCTGAGCCTTATGTCTGGCCTTACTGCATTCTTTTGATGCCCACCATGCAGCAAACAAGCTCTTGGGGTGCAGCTGGACCTCTGAGTCCTGCCACACAGGTTTTATAAGCCGGGTTTTGAACAGCAGCAGGCACCTGCATTGACTACTGGTGGCTCTCCTCTCTGCCCTCCTGAGGTTTCTCTAGCTCCCCGCCTCCAGAGCTGGAAGGTTGCCCAGAATCCTCCTTGGCCCCTCCCAAAAAGGACCAGCAGCCACAGCAGCTGAGAACAGACCGTCCTGTTGCATGTGCTGCCTCTGTACAAGGCCAGGAGTTGCCTGGACCTATGGTCTGGCTGGGGGAAGAGAAGGCGTCCCTGGCTGCAGGCAGGGATGAAAATGTGGGACTGCAGCCTGGAAGAGGAAAGGCTGAACATAAATAAATAAACAGGGCATGTTCGACCAAACCCCAATCCCCTAAATCTTGAAGACCACTGGAGCAGGAAATTGAGTGGCTGGGTCTAGACGCCTTGCTTTGCCCTACCCACCCCCCTGGACTTGGAAGGTTTTCTAGGCTCTCTCTCTCTCTCTTTAGAAATTGCGCTATCTATAGAGAAAGAGGAAGTGTTTTTAAACCAGAGTGAAGACTCTGTGGCCACAAATTTAAGAGAGAAAAGGGTTACTGAAGAAGGGACAGGAAAAACGGCCCCCAGAAGCTTGTGTGCGTGTGTGCCCGCGCGCATGCAAGACAGTGTCTGAGACAGCCGAGAAGGAAAAGGAAAACAAAGGAAAGTGTGGCACGAGAAAGACAGAGAAATAAGTGGTAGAGGCAGGCGTGAGGGCTGGGGG